TTCTGTTATAGGGGGAGCGACTTTATGCATTTATTCCGGTGACAGTGAAATTTTTAGGAGAAATTAAAGACATCCATACAAACAATGTACATTTTATTGTTACCAAGTATTTATAAATTTCTTGTTTTAGTTTTCTGTGAAAAAAAAAAAAAGTTTGTAAAGAGAAAAATCTATGAAAACTATCAATTATTTGTTAAAATCAAACATCAGAGATACTTTCACAATAATTTATGAAAATTTATGCTTATCGAAAATGCGAATAAAAAAAAAGGAAAAGAAAAAAAAGAGTTTTCACTTTGAAGAGGTAAACATTTCCAGTTCTTGATGGAAGTTTCGTTTTTTCTTATGCCGCTGTCACCATTAGTTATTAAGTTGGATTAAGAAACTATAGAAAACTATCACTTCGCAACAATAGTTAAAGCAAAGACAACCACACAAACCAATCTCTCTTGAATGGACATTATCTATAAAGACTTACTTGGTTAAGATAACAACAAGTAAATTGTTAGCAAACATTTCAAAGAATATCGTAAACAACTTTCGCAAAGCTTGTGCGCTTTTTTTCTTTCCACTTCAATAGACAAGATATTCTCACCATATAAGGCAAGAAAAGAAAATGAAAAGGTATGATGGAAAAGAAAAATGCATTGTTTTCTAGCACAAATCCTAGACAATAATAATGGTTCACAACTTGAAGTAAAACCGAAACATAATATTGGCCTAAATTACTAAACTTGGTAAAAAAGAAAGAAAGAGTGGGTATTTATCTTAAATTTATCACCATGCGAGCAAAAGAAAGTTCATAGCAGACATAACCGAAGTAAGCACTAAATTTTTCATCTAAGTCACTGGACATGCACATATAATGAAAAGAAAATATAGTCTTCATACCCGGCACTACAGGGTATTTCCTACGGTTTGAAATATCCAGAAGATACGCATATTATTATTCTCAATGAGCGTAAAATGTCAATCTACATCAGCGGTGGGCAAACTTTTTTCGTAAGGGGCCAATTTTAATGCGTAAATCACCGCGAGAGCGACAAGATTTGGTAATGAAGACAGTCCTTTGCATTGCTATGTGCGAGCAAGTTGTATTATTTGGGCTCGACGATATCACGAGCCGGTAAATGTGGCTCTTTGCCCATTTCTCCAGTGCTTGGAGAGTTTGTGGTGGCAAAAGTCAATCAAATTTGAAAAGACTGCACCGAAAATGTATGCATATGCCGGGTGTACGCCTATATTTGACTTACACATTCATTTGTTTACCACTCGGTCCGTTTCCTTGCTTACGGCGGCGCAAACTAGCACAGCCATAGATCAAGTTTGAAAATATCCACTATCCGACCAGGAGGATTAAAAAAAATACATCGCTGACTATTAGGATAAAATTTGATAAACAATTTGTCAATATCGTCGCACAGATTCGGTGACCGGCATCCAACAGAATACTTTCCACCAACAAAGAATAATAAATGCATACTGATTTTCAAATATCATGTCAAACATTTTTTATTAATTATAGCGTGAGCTCAGTGATCGGGCTTCTATCGCATATTTCACGTCGATTTTATTATGCTCTTCTCACTTTCCAATTTCCCTCAATCATTTTACTCATTGGTATAAACCGTATTTACTGCACATGCGGAAATAAACAAATATCATCGCAACTTGTCCGAGGACTTACGGTGAATTGCATCAAAAATTCGCCCTAACCTAAACAGGGCTTTTTTGATTTTTTTTGTTTTCATATCCTGTTCGAAGCCAACTGGTTTTCATATAGCGGATGGCATTTATTCAATGAGATACCAATGTAATTATGTTGCATTCGCATGAATTATTGCCGGTAATAAGTCTTGGCGTCAATTAACGTAAAGGCACGCACAAGCTTCGCTAATGAAAGGTCAAATTTTAATTTACATTTTTTGCCACTTTCGCGATATTTTCATCGCTCGTTTGCAGAAGCGATTAATTAAGTAAGTGTTCTAGAAAACTGTAATAACATACAACAAACCATAGATAGATAGTGTTAAAAACCAAATGTCGTCATTTCATTATGTTAAGATTATAATGAATGGAGACATTATAGAAAATTTTATTTATGTCAGTTAATTAATTTTCGCGTCCATGAATGTAGGGAAAAAGTCCAAAATCGAAATAATGAACATTTCAATAACCGGGGTAAGAGTGTACTTCGTCGTAAGGCCGCTTGTAAGAAATATATATGAATCGCAGTTTGATGCTCTTAACATGGTTGCCGTCGATTATCAGACAAGCGCCAATGTTTCTTTTCTGGATTTTAGCGTAAAACGCAACTACAGTATGCGATGAATTAGTTACCGAAAAAAAATTCATTTATGTCACATTTTTCCCAAAGTAACAGAAAATACGAAAACAGAAAATGGAATGGAATCGAACTCGGTTCGATATGTGGAAAAAAGAGGCTCTCAATAAACGCATTCAGATTCAATAAAAGCAGTTGAACAACCATCCTCTTTAAATAGAAGCCTCCATAGTATGAAATTGGATACATGCGGCAGTTAACTATGTCTTCTAGTTACATCACTTTCTACGATACGATATATTTCAAAATGTATTGCGACTTTTGCAGAATCAAAGCTTTCAAAGATGCATTTTTTATATGCACTTAAAAAACCTACTTACTTGCATTTATTGTTATAGCACTTGGGAACGTGTACATTTTTTCTATCACAGTCTGTAAATTAAATTTGTTGGCGGATGGTCATCATCATGTATGCTGATGATCGGTTTCCTTTGTGTGTGGACTTTGCGTTGACTTTTTTTCTTCTTTTTTTTTTTTTTAATTGTTTGTTTTGATATCAAATTTGTTGCACAAATGCTTCCTTCCATCGATATTTCTGTGTTATGATGGCTGGTGTTAAGCGAATTCAATTGTGCAAAACGAATCAATCGAGAATGTTCTATATTTAGCTTAAATAATGTTGTTGTTGCTGTACTTCAATAAAAATAGACTTGCACAAGAATGCGTAACGCCAGAGAATACTTTACTTAATTGAAGTTGCGATTTGTTATGCAAGCATATTTTAGAGAATTTTATTCGCAAATTAATTGATCGCATGAAGGCAAATTGAAGAAAAAAAATTCACTTCGTAGATGTAAAGTAGAAGAAACTCGAATGTGAAAACTTTAATACTAAAGCCTATTAACGTTCAGGTCGAAGATGCGGAAATGGACTTTAAAAACCTTGTCTTTATTTTGGATAAATTCGAACACAACGTACATCGCTGTGGTGTATTTACCTCGGTGACCTTACATACTCGTGAAGTTAGGATGCTTCCAAATTCACTCAATCGTCCGGTAATGCTTTTAAACATAGAGCTGTACACAGCTTTTAGAGCTCCTTGAATAGATCGTGGAACACATTGATGCTAATTTTTCGAACAAAATCATCTTTAGCGAGAAAACGCAAGTTCATGTTGATAGCTCGTTTAGGCGAAACAATTATTGCAGATGGGTTAGAAAATGTACAAAACACACAATTTACATACAAGGTGTCAACTAACTCTCTTTTCACATGGTACATTTGTCCCGTAGAAAACTGTCTGAAATATGTTCCATAACTCTAATCACTCGTGATACGTTTATTACGGACTGGACCAAAAATACTATGTTCAGTAGGTATATCGGATTTGTCTAGCGAAACTGTCAAGTTTAACTCAGTGGTTACCGTGGGAGTCTGTTGGGTTTTTGCTGTTATAAGGTCTATTATTAGCAGACTTTCTTTGGATTCCTCGTAACTTTTGATATCAAGTTACACGTTGAAATTTTAATGCCGGCTTCATGTCAAGATGATGAGGGAGAAAATTTTGGAAATTTCAGGCGCTCGCGGATGAAACCATGCAGCTTCCAGTTCCGTCATTATGGATTACTTTAGAAAAAGGTTGGCGTGGTGTATATAACCATCCACTTGAAATAATATTATTTTCAAAGTATATTTTTAGGTGCTTAGCCCATGATAATGTCATTTGCAAAAGTTTTTGAAAAGTAACTTCTACTTCCCTGAAGGAAAGAAGGGCGACATACTTGTGTTGCGTAAGTTTTCGCATCTTTCACGCAAAGGTGTTAGGTTAACCTTCATGTGAATGTAAAATAGCTTTCACTAAATGAATACCGCCAGGCGGTAACCTGTATCGGACTACGACCACTTGTCATCTTTGGGGTAAATTAAAAGAATATAGTGTTTAAAATATAAAACAATTAAGTTATCAGAACAGAAATTCAACTTTCGAAAGTGCATGAAAAATACAAGAAAAAAAATACAAAAAACCAACTTTACAATATAAACATCATGAAAAAATGCACTTTAATCAATAAGTATTAGGTAGGTAATTAATTAACGAATTGTAAAAGCCTTTTTTAATTTGTAAATTACGACGTTTAGCAAAATTCAATGCTAAAAGTTTAAAGTGAAATGCTGAAGAAAATGAAGAGATCGTTTTTCATGTTTCTTGCTTGAGGGAAATTATTTATAATTCAATTTGCGAAAATTTATTAAAAATTTTTTTGCAGGGCGTAATTAAAAGAAAACAGCAATATTTTCTTATTACAGTTGTTATTAAATATTTACGATCATCTTTGCAAGGAAGAGTAAAAAGATTAATAATCGTACACTTTAGCGTTTATTGCATTTCCAATATAAGTGACCTTTAAGAAATATTCTCACACAGTTAAGGTATTATCAATTTTAATCTTCATCTACATGAGTGCACTCATTAAATATTCGAGGGTGGGATCAAAATGAAAAAAAAAAATAAATAAATAAAAATACTATATAGTAATAAACAAATAAAGAAATAAAGAGAAACAAGGCAACGTAAAGAATACCTTGTTTTTAACGAAATAAATTTGCATTTTATACCAGATGATTTTCTTCTCTTCTTCTCTTCATTTTTTTTTTTTTTTTTTTTTTTTTTTTTGTAATGGGGCAAACAACAAACAAGAAAACAATAACCACTTACCATAGCTTGTTCGATTTTATTATCGATCGCAACTGCACTTGTTCCAGATGCACTGTAACGAAACGAAAAAAAGTAATATAAAGAAAAAACGATATAACAATATAATAATAATTGTTAGATAATGGAGAAAAGTACAAAGTGAAAACAATTGCTGGCTTTGAACATTGAGACTAGAATATGTATGTATGGGAATTTCGATTCGTACGACGATAAAGTTTGAAGTATCAAGAGGGGAAAAAACAAAAAATAGTCTATGCAATGTTACTTAATTCATTTTTATAAAGAAATTCGCATTTTGATTATAGCATATACTAAGGCACTTGTTAATTAATTACATTTTCTAATATAATTTCAAGTAAAAACTCAAAACGTCTGCTTTGGAAAATGCTTTTTAACTACATTTTTCCCTTGTATCAATTAACAAAATATATAATAGATTATATTTTTATGCAAAACTCTACATCGCAAAACTATAATTTGTTTAACACATGTACAATGTCTGTAGACAGTCATCCATTAAAACATTTTATATGCAATCTGCGAATTCATTTATCATTATATTTTGCAACTTGATGAACATATTATGTAATAAGTTTTAAGAAAGAAAGTTATATACGCCTTAGAGCGAACCTTCAATTTCTATAGCGTGAGCGTTTGTAATCCATAAGAGTAGAATATTCGGGAACTTGGCCGACGTGTCAATTTACAAGAAACTATGGACTTGAATTTTTGTAGACTTTTTTGATTGAGCGAAATCTATCTTTAAAGCAAAAGCCCGAAACCCAATTTTGAAGAACTTCCAAAGGCATTTGTGACGTGGCACGCAAGTGTGATTAGCTTTATTATGCAGAAGAAATTTTCACTTCCTTTTATCTGCTCTTTCAGTAATTACTAGCTGCATGAGTAGCCGAGTAGTTGGGAACCGGAACTACCAAGTAAGTGTTGGCGGATTCAAATCCCAGTGTGATAGGACTTCCTTTGGTCGGAGCTGTAGTGGGTGCTCAGTCAGAGAACGTGTACACCACTAGTCTGCAGTCAACAACGTTGCTATTTCTTTCTCTTTCCTCGCTTACTTTCGACTGTTCCCGTGTTACATGTATAGGGGAAGCACCCCATTGCGATTGATCATATTAAAGCAAAAAAAAAGAAAAAAAAAAAAAAAAAAAGATTACGAGCTTAGCACTCACATAAATTTTGACCATTTGCAAAATTTCATGCTTGATATTCAAATCAGAATCCTATTCGATGTCGATTTTAAACGATTTTTGGACATTTTCAAACAATCGTACGTACCATCGCGGACGTAAGTTAAGTAAATCTCACATTGACAGTGAATGTACACATTTTATAAAGTGGTTTTTGTTGTTTCTCTTTCTGGGCATTACGAACGGAATGAGGTAATTATTATACCTCGCAATGACGTTTATAAATAAAGAGAGATTATGAGAAACTAATATTTTTCTTCTTCTTTTTGTGTATTTGTTTCGTTTGTTTGTCTAATTATATCATGAATTTTTATTGATAATTATGACGTGGACTTTTCTATGTTTTTGTTGAAGTTTTGTTAATTTTTCATGTGAATTCTATTATGTAAGCGTTTATGCGAATGTTTTTCTACCGCTGTGTAATGTGTTTTTTTTTTTTTTTCATTTTATGCAATAATATAATTTGTTAATAATATAGTGTGTGAGGATAATTTATGTTTCTTGTATTTTATTTATTTATTTATTTTTTTTTTGATAACTATGTGTATGTGCTATGTGTTAGTCTAAGTATAAATATAAAATTATTGCAAACGATTGATTGCTTGTTATGCACTTTTTCAGGTCAATTTAGCATGTGTTGAAAAATCATAAAAATAAATTCATTAATAAATTGCATAATAAATTATAATCAAGTTATAATGATGATAAACAGAAATGTAGAGTTGATAAACACCTTGAAAAGAATGCATAATATATTTACTAACACTAAATAGAGGAAAATCTCACAATGAATTGGTTGATTGCGGTACTTCGAATCGAAGTACGTTGCAGCCAAATATTTTCATGATGGGCATAAGTGTTTGCCCAACATTTTGTGATATTTATCCTGTATCGTTTTGTTATTATGGAATTCATTTTTAGAAGCTTCTTTTTTTTTGTAAATAATCTTAAAAAGCCGTCTTCCGCCGTCTAGCCCGTTTATGTGGGGTCATCCATTTTATAGTTTCGAAATGAAATATAAATATAACACGCTTCGGATTGAGATTCGGAACATTTTTCTTTCAATATGTTGCTCGTATCTTTTATTGTTTGTGGAACACAACAATACATATATAGAGTCGTACAGCGTACAGTAATTGTTACAACTTATTGCGATTGCAATGAACCCAAGGTTAAGTTTCACGTATGTGGGGCGAGGTTCAATTTTGGTAAAATAATTTTATAAATGTAAAGATTATTGCCCCGTTAGAGTGAACAAGACATATCTGGTATTCCTAAAGGACTTCTACGTATACAACAACGCCTATTGGGTGTGACTTGCGGGCCAAAAAAATAGAATTGCTATTATCGCCATTGGAGAAACACAATAAATAATTTTTTGTGGAAAAATGTAAAAGGTTTCGGCTTGGATATCATGTGGTTTCAACAAAATGTTGCCACATGCCATACAATTTGTGGCAGAAAAAAGCCAACGATAGTGTAATGTCCAATAGCGTATACGTGAATCTGCCATAGCTACAAAGACAAAGCGATACCAACCCACTGTTGGACTTTATACTTGGAGGTTATTGTTGAGCATTGCCTTATTCCAATAAAACATGAACTCTCAGCGAACCCATTTCCCAACATTGTTGGTGCTGATGGTGAAACTAGAGCGGGTTTATGTGAATATGTGGAAAAAATTAGTGTATCAGTATTAAATTGTGACAGAGATTCAGAGACAGTGAAGAATGCTATGAACGAAAATTCAAGTTCTTTTACCACAGAAAAAAAATCAACTATTTGATGACTCTATATAGACATCGTAGCTACCAAAATTTCCAACGTCGCAACGATATGAATCCGATATGCGTCCATACATTATTTGCTTACATATACTTGAAATGATTTGCGAATTTCCCTTGATTTTGATTTCTGAAATGTTTCTCTCTTCTCAATCTAGCCAGTCAGCACTTACGAAAGAAATCCAATTGAATAAAGGCCTTGGTCAACATTCGAATCAGTTTTGATGACTGAGTGGATTGATACTGATCGTAAAATTAACCAATCAATAGATTCAATGCAGTCACCAAAACCGTGTGGACTTATTGACTGGTTTGGTGAAAGAGGAAGCAATTTTAACTAAGCTAAATTCAGGATAGTCAACCATAAGTTGATATGTTAAAGGAGAGTGTTCTGCATAAAAGTTAGCTTTTGCTCGGAAGAAATTTGTGCCTGAGATAGAATGTATCTTTATTCCAGCAAATGGACGTCGAGAAACTGACTCTAACTCGCTCTAAGTTTGCAGTACAGGCGCAAAAAAGCTACGAACGAAGTCTAACGACTACTGATTTCTGCAAATAAATTTACAGAAGTTCACATAGCGGCTTCAATTCTGTGCTATTACTAAAGTCGAGCTGCTTGCAGTAATTAGCAGTATCTGTACTAAAATTTCATCGTGGGTTTCTGCGACAGTAGCATTGTTTTCAAATATCTTCGGCTTTTCAATTACATTTTTTACTTATTATTTACCTAATTATTAAATGTTATTAACTAAAAATTTTAATAAATAAATTCCAAGTAATTATAAAGCATGATTTTCAGTTCTGTTCAATAATGAAATGCTTTGAATCATATAATTCTTAATAAATTAAACTGATTGCAGTAAATCCTTCCCATCTCGCAGATATAATGAATTCATTTTTATTATTCATTTCAACCTTGAATTTTGTGATTACAGTGAAGGGAAAAATAAAAAATATCTCGTTATTTTGCTTTTAATGCATTAAAAATGAAAAAAAAATCAATAGATTTTTTACTTATGATTGACATAATAATATATAATTAAAAGTCTTTTTCTTAAGCACTTTGGAACGACGTCGTTTGTTTCAACAACAAGATCTCGAGAATATATGGAAATGAAAAAAAAAAAAAAAATTTATAAAATATATTAGTGAATTCAAGGACTTGACACACATTTCTGTATAGACATCACCGCACCACACGGTAGATATTCAGCCAAGAAACAAGTTGTGATTAACTATATAATGCAAAGTAAATACTATTTAAAAATGGCTAAATTTACTTTTTCAGAAAGAGAAAATTTGCGAGTTTGAAGTACCAAAACTAACATTAGAAAAAATGGAATCAATGCCTGGATTACTATTGACAAGTTTTTCACCTGGAATGACTTTATTAGGAGTGACGAGCGAAGGCGTAGGGAATTACGTTTTTTTTTACTTGCTTTCTATCTTATCCGTATCAATGAAGGAGTTGAAACTTTTAACGCCGTACCAATGAAGGAGTTGAAACCTTTACGATTTAGAAGATTTACTCCTCCTTCCAGAGACAGAAATAAAAGCGAAAATTTGCTTATTTTCTATGACAAAGGAAGTCATATAATCTTTTTTCCTAGTCGTGAGGTATATCAAGATATTATTATAATATTCATGGCATTGTGGGATCAAAATTTACCTTGATTATACCCTACAGCACTTGTGGTACGAGAATTTAGTAAGCTTATGCGATCCCCGGAAGGACTTGAGGCTGACTCACCTCTTATTATACCGATCGGTTTAGAACTGTTGTTTGCATCGATCTAAGCCTGTCTGTCCGTCTGCCTCTCTTGGGTTTTGTGCTCAAGTAACGAGCCGCAATTTATATTTAGACAAAATTTATTATATAGTGTTACAAATGAATTAACGATGTTTGCTACGGTAACGAATACCACAAACGGTATACGGACCCAAGACATATTTTATGAGATTTTGCGGATATTTATTGTAAGAAAAACGGGAACATTGACACGATTAAAGGGGTAAAAGAATTATACAACAATAGTGCTTGGCTTTAAAAAACTAAAGAGATC